TATATATTTCCATTAGAGCAATCTCACACTAACTATTTATACTTCATAGATTATATTTTTTCACAGCTCCATCTGAGCGCCGGCTAAGTTCTAGCAATGCCAGTGTATCTTTACACGAACCAATTCACCCGATATTTTTAACTTTCATATCTCTGCTACTTCTTAAGATGGGCTTTTAAAATTTGAAACCTAAATTAAGCTTAAATAGTTTAGGACACTGTCTAAAATTGAGTCTGTTTGAGAATCTTCTTCTCTCGACATTATGTTCCTTGGGGTAAAATAAATTTGCGAAAACATTGATATATATATACCCTTAATAGTACCCTATAATATTTTTTACTTATTCCTTATTTAGTTGCAAAGAATTCCGATGTACTTACATAACACATTATTCTAACAATAGATCAGAAAAAAAATTAATTAAAAAAAAAAAAAAACAAGTTTTGAATTTACATATATTTTTTTTATTACTATTACCCTCGACAGCAAAGGTCATTATATTATTTATATATATAATAATAATATTATATATAAATATATATATATATATATATATATATATATATATATAATATAATAGCTGACCACTGTGCAATCATAATGCCAAAAGAGTGTATTATGAAATCTTTTTTTTTTGTTTTTATTTTTTTAATTAATAAAGAACTAGTACACGAGTTTTCCTCGTAGTTCGGTGGTTCAAATATCTCTTTGTGCATGTTTCCGAGATTATATATGACAAACTTGGTGCTGATATACAGGTACAAAATTTCAGATCTTCATATAAACTGCCTGTTGCAAGAAATCTAAGAGTTGCTATGAGCCTTTCTACTGGAATTATTGCCATTCTCATTACAGTTTTTTTTTTAGGTCCAATAAGGTCAAGTAATAATTTAAAATCCTGTGATTCCATTCTGAGATAGTTGTTACAATCATCTGGATTATTTTCTTCAAGTTCACAAAGTAGTAAAATATCACTGAAATTTCGATTTAATTTCCAGTCCTTAACCCATTTTGATATTATTTTGTGTCAACACACGAAAAGCTGCAAATGCAATTGCAATTTTTTTTCTTTTCAATTTATACATTTAATTTAAAAAGTAATAATAACAAAAAATGAAAAATAGTTATAATAAGAGTAAAATAAGTATGCGCACAGCATCGAGACACACAACATGACGTCGTCATGACGGAAGCGAAGACGCACCACGTCAGTCGCGCGGAAATGAACACGGTTTTTGCCTTTACACGACTCGCTTCCTTGTCAATTTTAACATAAATGGAAAGAACGCAGGATTGGTACGTGTTAACTTTTTTCAAGCACATTCTTGACCGTTGCACGTCAGTACTTCGGGTTCCGCCACACGCCCGCCGTACCATTCTAATCGCGCGAGACAAAGGTGTTCGTCTAAAGGCTTCCTAATAGACCTGTTCAAAAGACAGAAATGGGCGTCAATCTAATTATTTCGTTACTCCCGTAAACTGCATTACGGTGGATGCCTATATTAATTGCACGAGGACATGGTATAAGTGTTCGGTATAATTCGGTTTAGCCTCGACAACATTTGATGTGTATGGACATTTGATTACGAGCCATAATAATGCGGATTCGAAGGTCCGACGCAGTTAAATGAATAACTCACGTCGAGAGGTAGAATATTATTATACTATAAGGTCAATAAGTTTAGATACTACCGTGAAACCTAGTATTTCCTTTGACACTGGTAGAAAATCGTGGGCCCTATGCAACAAAGTCACTCGATAAATTGTTAAATTTTCATATTACATTCAAGAGTAGGTGGAAGACCCACCCTTTTCTATTTAGTCAAACAGATTTTTAGACTTTTCCCGGTTTCGGGGATGAAGAAGTTGACTTTTTCGACGTTTGACCCTCCAAAGTACTAATCGCATACGATTCCGGATCTAAAATGGTGCTACACAATTAATTCGGTTCACAGGAAATAAAGTTATCGTGTCTACAGACACAAAAATAAAACACTTATCATTTAAGAATCAATACCTTCTCAGCTACGCATCAAAGCTAAATTGGTCTTGTAAAAAAATTATTTTTTAATTTTTAATTCAATTTTTTAAATCGTTTTTTAGAAAAGCACGTTTTTAAAAAAAATTATATTTTTTTGTTTAAATAAACGGTTTTATCACAATTTTAATTATAATCATTTTTGAAGACTTATAACCTTGCCGCAAATCGTACAGGCTACCCTAGGTGGTGCGATAAAACCAATAGGGTGTTAACTGAACAAAATGTTTATGTTTTGCGCAATACCGGAGGACTTTAATGAATTTTTACTTGAAAATATTTTATATATAATTTAAAAAATCGTCTTTTTTTCAGGTATGAGATGATTTCTTGACGAATTCGCTATCCAGGACAGGTCGTCAGTCCGTCGCCGGAGAGAGGGTAGCCTGCCTAGCAAACGGAGCGTCCGTTACCGAGTTTCGAACCAGGGCAGTCAGCGATAAAATGGCCTCCTTACCCACTCGGCCACTTCTCTCCAGAAATCGTCTAGGAGAATGAAATGTTTTATTTTTAATCAAACGGTATGTGATATTTTCGTTGGAAGTATATTGTCAAAATTATGATCGACGCCACTTGTATCTACATGGATACACCAAAATTCAAATGTTTTGCAAATTACAGCTAGTATTAAAAGGTTGTCTCAGTATAAATGTGTTTCATGTAGTCTGCAGAATATATAAAAACTCATGTACCTTGTTTTAAAAGAAGTAATTTATTTAATTACCCGGAGAAAAACATTTTTTAATTTCTCATTATAAATTTTTATATTGTACTTGTAATAAATAAAAATAATACATTTTATTATAGTGCTTATTAAATAATTTGTTAAATACCTACTAACAAGCAGACGGCAGCTGTATTTAGACAATTCACAATAGACTATAGTCATTGGCGTAGCTTGGTATAGTTATCTGTGGGGGCTACATAGGACTAGAAAAATGTATTCCAATAACTCTATATTTATCACGAAATAAAGGGAAAAGGAACATATTCTTAAAAAAATATATATTTATATGGAGGAGGAGGAGTGGCCGAGTGGGTAAGGCGGCAGTGTGTTAGCGCTTACTGTTGCCGGTTCGACACTAGGTCACAGGCGCTCCGTTTGCTGGGCGAGCAATCGTCCGGTAAAAAGGAACCGCCATCCCCTCTCCGGCGACGGATTGACGACCCGTCTTGGAAGCGAATTCGTCAAGAAACCATCTCATGATGGCAGCGTTGGGCCTTCATGGCCGTTAAGCTACATGATGATGATGAATGTATGACTCCTTCTTAACCTGACATTTATTTTACAATACATAAAACAATTAAAATAAATTATTTACTAGACGCCTGTCGTTGGAAGCGAACATGTCAAGAAACCATCTCATGATGGCAGCTTTGGGCCCCTTCATAATCTATTAAGGTACAAGATGATGATACACAAATCTAATAGTCTGCTGTCTATGTACACAAATATTTTATTAAGAGTTGGCACATAAAGACATAACGCTTAATATGCATATTCATATAATTACCGCTGTTCATTTGACGCTCTTTAGTTTGCCTGGTGGTGACAGTTTAACACTTCCATATTATCGTCTCAATATTGTAGTGGATTAAGTTTTAAATACTTATACAATCAATAAAAATTAAGCGATTAGGCAAATTAACAAAAATGGAAAAGATAAGGTGTAAAATATTGTTTTTTTTAGTAATTACAAATCGTTAACTTGACTAGCTTTGCTTTATCTACAGGTGGCGTTTTTATTTATTTTTAATAATAATATTATTTTTCCTAATGATTGGTGTTACAAGTTCTTATCGTTTGGTTTTAATTTATTTTATATAATATACAATAACAACAATATACAGTATTTAAAAATATAGAAAACAGCATTATTTGATTTTCATCAGTGGCAACCAACAATAATACAATATTTAGTATTTAGTATTTGGTAAAGGGGTGTTCGGTTAAAATGATCAAGAACAAATATGTCATAAATTATTTTACTAACAAATTTTACATGTACGTATTCACATAATTTCGTACTAATTGTTATGTCAATATAAACAAATATATAATTTTTTTTATAGTTCGTTGACTTACAATAAATGTTGTCAGTGATAAAAAACAGTATGATATGTTAACGTATGATGTATTGTATATTATGTTAATCATATTAGAAATATATGTATAGTATTATTATAAGCTAAACATGAGAATTGTGAAAAAAAAATATTTAAATTTTTTTATCGTATGGTAATTTGTAATGTTCTACGATAAGTGTATTAACCTAATAAAATTATAAATGATTTAGCGACTGAACATTTTGACTTTTGTATTAATTAATTTATTGCTTAAAGACGTATTTTTCAAAAAATCACAAAATAATATTCCAACTCAGATGAGTCTTAAATTTGTCTTATTCATTCTAAATAATAAAAATACTAATTATGTCTTTAGTTCTTATTTTGAATGTTATAAATCATATTTTCTTTCTCTCCCTCCAAAAAGATGAATAACTAAAATAATAAGATTAATTATTATAGACTTATTATTAATAAGTCTATAATTATAAGGTCTACAAATTATTTTTACTTAAGTGTTTAAAATAATTAACTATAGATGATCGTTATTCTTTAGTATTGAATGACCATTAATGTTTAAGTCTGGTTACATGTTCAAATTTAAAGATCTTTGATGTAGGTAGTTAATAAGAAGATTAGGGCGAAGTAAGAATTTGCAATTGTACACGAATGAGATATAAATAATGTAAATATTAACAGATTAAACAGCATTACAAAGTTAAATGAAGAATATATATATATTTGTTGTTATTTATATAAACCAGTATTTAGATTTACCAGTGACTTTTTTTTACTTAAACTTAACGTATAATTTACCAATACTATAAAATATTTTAATAACCGATACACTAAAGAGCTGATCATACGTTTTACCTTACTTTAATATTTTATTCGTTTATTTACTAAGATAGTTTATAAACACTTAAGGTACCTACAGAACGTTTTGCAAAGTCTGACCTGTTGACATATTTTTAATAAAATTAATATTTTAAGTAAAGTGAACCTTATAATTCCGATTGATTCTTCTAAGTAAAAGCTTTAGCATTTCCATCTAAAGTAATTGGATAGGTACACTCTGATCTTGAACGGATATGATAATAAAGTCATCGAAAGAGTTTTGATTATTATAGTACAAACAAATATGGCCGGAACACTTATAGAGAGCGTGTGTGCTCATTACTGGTGTTCAAACTAAACCGAACAGTTTTAAACATTTTAAATTTATATTTAATATTATTAATTTGAATAAAATTATATACATTATGTTATATATTTAAATAATACGTATGCATACACATACCGGGTGATTGGTTAACTATGGACCACTCAATATCTTAGAAGATATTAGACTTTTTTAATTTTTTTTTTTTTATACTTTTATAGTAATTAGTTGGGACAAATTTTATATATATTTCAAAATTTTAACACCATCCCTTATGCGTTAAAACCATATCAACTTTAGATTTTTAAATGGTAACCCCCAATTTGTTGATGATCGTGTTTATTTTTTTTTAATTTAATTTTAGGTGTAAAAACTAGGTAAATCGATTGAGTAATTAACCAGCTACACAGTTTTAAAATTAAAGGGAGTGTAAAAAATAAATTAAATATCTTGGAGACGCTAACATATTAAGGTGACACTTGACTGCTCTCTGTTATTATTTATTGACAATTAACTTTGACAATAGCTATAGTAGCGTTTAAAAATCATAACCGTACCAAACACTATTTACTTTAGGTAAATAATTCACCGATAGTAAATAATAATGATAACCGCTATATCAACTGACAAATATACCACCACTACACACTTTTACATTTATTTTATAAAATAGTAGGTATGTTTAATTTGTTATCAATACCTTGTGTATATTTTTCCAGCATTTAGCAATTATATGTTTTGGTTAATTTGACACATTTTGTTTATTCATGCGATTTGTACGTCTTAATTTCATAGTATATTATAATAATATAGTATCATAACTTACTAGATCTATGAACTTGTCAACATTTATTGTGTTTTAAATAATAACATTGATATTAAATATCCATAATCAATGTGAATACCAAGATGGAGTTTTGCTCAAGTGACAAGTCTATAAAACCTATAACCTTACTTATAAAATGTATGCACATCAAATATCAAAATTAAAGGTACTTATAATAATAATATGTTATTTAAAATAAATAGAGTAATTTCAATTATGCTTGATGATATTTTAATTAAAACTTTTATTTTTACAGTATTATGTCTTTGTTCTGAGAAACTTATAAATGTGTAGTTTTGTGTTTTAACATATTGGTATCTGAATTCAAAGAAAAAATATAAAATTTTTTATGAAAAAATTGAATCTTCAATCATCATTTACTGAATCAATAATAGGTAAGATAATGTATTTATTAATATAGGTGTATTGTATAAGTACATTTTTTTATTATAAAAATATAATTAATCGTTTTTTATTATTCATGAACTTATTAAATGTTTTTACATAATAAGTTTTTTTGGATTACTTATGTTTATCATACTTAATATGTTTAATTAAAATGCGTTACTTAAAAATTAACGTTTAACTTAAAAATTATCATACTTGTATAATTATAAAAAATCTATGTGTATATTGATATTTGTTGCTTAACCATATAATTATTTAAGTATCTAAGAAACTTATTTAATTTTTTTAATTCTATATTTCAGTATGTTCAATATTAATATGGACTATTCCAACTTAAATTGATATTTGTTATTGTCTACAACTACACTACTACTAACGTCAAATTTGGTGTATTATATTATTGTAGTCAATCAGTCTAAACCAATTCCATCAATACATTGTCGAATGTTGTGGTATTCAATTTTCAGTTAATTTATAGGTGTTTTATTTTAAGGTAAAATATATAAGATCATCAGTTTGCAATAATTTAGTTAATTTCTATGAATTCATCACTAACAATTTATTATTATTATTATTTTTTTTTTTTAGTTACTGTGGCACACTATTGCAGATAACGGTTTTCCATTAAGTCAGTAAGAAGAATAAGATGGATTCACAAGTTCAAATCAAATATTAGACAACTATATATAGTTATTCAGCTAAAAATGTAATTCAATAAAATAATTTAAAAGTACTTTATCATTTTGAAAGTGACATAAAGTTTTTAAACTCTAAGTATTTCAACACACATATACTTAACAATCTATAATTATTATACATTATTTATTAATTATTAATGATGAATTCTTTATTTAATATTAATTTAATCTAAAATACTGCTGAGAATGTTAATATTTCTAAAATATGTTATTGTCTTAATCCAAATCTTGAAATTATTTTCATGATGGCATAGTTTTGGCATTAGCTATTACAGAATTTATTGACAACTTTCTAGTGGTTTACGATTAAGTTTTTATAATTAATAAAGTAAATAAAATTATAAAACACAAAATAGAAAAAAAAATGTTAACTATTGGATTAAGTGTAAAAAAGTAAATTGAATGAATATACTTATAAATATTTTTTAACTTAAATATGTAAATGAAGATGGATTTCTTCTAGTGGGAAATAACCAAACAAACTTTACCGCCCTAGGTAACTTCCTATAAATACATCACTATATACAGCAATATGTTGTACCTCTATTATTTACAAGTTAATTATAGATATGTTAATTTTATTTAGTCTTAGTTTTTTAATATGACTTAGCAAATAAAAATGTTTATTCGTATCTTATAAGCGTATTATTTATCTTGTTACTTGTTTTTTATTTTACTATTATCATAATAAATATAACATAATATAGTATTTAAATGTTTGTTAGTAATATAATTATTGAATTTTAAGCTTATGACTGTTAAAAAAGCCGTAAAAAAACAAAAAAAAAATTGTACTTTGTCATTGTCACTCTAAATTTTTGCTTATACCTCGTACAACGAAAAAAACAACCATTTATTAAATAAGAAACATACTTTTACTGTTCATATGGACACATTAAAATAAGTAAGAATAGTCAATACTATGAAATATATACAGTATAGGCTTAAGGTAGTAATATAATAAAGAGTTAATAAATAAGCTTTTAATAATTAAAAATACTGAACTAGAAATAGTTAAAATTGACGCGTTACAACTTTAAATTATAAAAATGAAAATTGATTTTAGTGCACAAGTATTGGATGAACGTATTTCTTATGAAATCCTTTGTTATCTAAACATTTTAATAAACACAATAGATGCCTTTAGATGCCAAAAGATGTTGTTTGACATCTTATGTACCTATCATAAACCAGTTCGGACAAATGCTAAAATAGTTTCTGTACATATTAAGTTTAGTTTTTGTTTATTTCTGTATATATTCTGTACATATTATCTATTAACTGTATGTAATACAATATTATACTAAAAAAAACAAAAAATTGAATGTTATTTATTAAAGTTTTTTTAAAAATATTTTCACTGACAGAAATAATAATTTGACTAGTTAAGACACCAGTACAAGTAACACTTATTAAGACCAAGACGCTAAATATTTAAAGTAAAAACCAAGACGCTAAATAACCATAATAATTGAAAAATTAGAATAATGAACTTTTTGATTAGTTTTCAAGTAGTCGTATTTTTATAATAATTTGTTCTGTGTTGATATTAATCTACACTAGTAACGAATCGTTTTGGTAGAACCACGGTATATACTCTATATAAGACCGTGATTAGACCACGGTAACCTATGGTTGAAATTGAAAAAAAAACTATTTACTAGGGCTCATAATATTTAAAAAAACGGCCGACCGCCGACCGATTGCCGACCTAAACCGACGGCAGTTATGTCAATTTTTGACAATGTTCCGGAAGAGGTCCCCTCAATTTGATTATACCAATCGAAAGCTTACTAAAATGTCTAAAAATTCGTCTCTATGAAAAAAGTTGGCACCGGGGGTCTTGCGGCCACCAGAAGCCGCCGAACCCAACCCAGCAATAAAAAAAACGGCCGACCGCCGACCTAAACCGACGGCAGTTATGTCAATTTTTGACAATGTTCCGGAAGAGGTCCCCTCAATTTGACTATACCAATCGAAAGCTTACTAAAATGTCTAAAAATTCGTCTCTATGAAAAAAGTTGGCACCGGGGGTCTTGCGGCCACCAGAAGCCGCCGAACCCAATCCAGCAATAAAAAAACGGCCGACCGCCGACCATGCCGACCTAAACCGACGGCAGTTATGTCAATTTTTGACAATGTTCCGGGAGAGGTCCCCTCAATTTGATTATACCAATCGAAAGCTTACTAAAATGTCTAAAAATTCGTCTCTATGAAAAAAGTTGGCACCGGGGGTCTTGCGGCCACCAGAAGCCGCCGAACCCAATCCAGCAATAAAAAAACGGCCGACCGCCGACCGATTGCCGACCTAAACCGACGGCAGTTATGTCAATTTTTGACAATGTTCCGGAAGAGGTCCCCTCAATTTGACTATACCAATCGAAAGCTTACTAAAATGTCTAAAAATTCGTCTCTATGAAAAAAGTTGGCACCGGGGGTCTTGCGGCCACCAGAAGCCGCCGAACCCAATCCAGCAATAAAAAAACGGCCGACCGCCGGCCTAAACCGACGGCAGTTATGGCAATTTTTGACAATGTTCCGGGAGAGGTCCCCTCAATTTGATTATACCAATCGAAAGCTTACTAAAATGTCTAAAAATTCGTCTCTATGAAAAAAGTTGGCACCGGGGTCTTGCGGCCACCAGAAGCCGCCGAACCCAACCCAGCAATAAAAAAACGGCCGACCGCCGACCTAAACCGACGGCAGTTATGTCAATTTTTGACAATGTTCCGGAAGAGGTCCCCTCAATTTGATTATACCAATCGAAAGCTTACTAAAATGTCTAAAAATTCGTCTCTATGAAAAAAGTTGGCACCGGGGGTCTTGCGGCCACCAGAAGCCGCCGAACCCAACCCAGCAATAAAAAAAACGCCGCCGACCGATGCCGACCTAAACCGACGGCAGTTATGTCAATTTTTGACAATGTTCCGGAAGAGGTCCCCTCAATTTGATTATACCAATCGAAAGCTTACTAAAATGTCTAAAAATTCGTCTCTATGAAAAAAGTTGGCACCGGGGGTCTTGCGGCCACCAGAAGCCGCCGAACCCAGGCACAAAAATATAAGCAGCCGGCCGTCTACCGACCGCCGAAGAAGCGCTTATATAATGTTAACTAATCATATAATTTGTTTTAAAATAATTTTTATATTACATTTAATGAAAACAATATATAAATCAATCTGTACTTATTTTTTTAAAAGTTAATTTTAAAAAACATTGCATTACATTTATGCATAATCAAAACATTTGTATAAAATAAAAGTGTATTTAATATATATTTGTATAAACAGATTCGATTTAAATATCAATATTTCATTGACACTAAAATTAAATAAATATACATTAATCTCTGTGTTATAAAATCCTAGCCCCTCTAGAATGGCATTAAGTAATTCCTCGTTATATATTATAATTTTAACGTCCCTTGTTCTGGCGGCGAATCGGTCGCGCCGAAATCTCCGGGTTCGGGCACCGCGACCAAAACCGGTTTTAGGTGGCAACTGGCATGTTTGATAACAATAACAATAATAACAATAATAGAGCATTATCGTATGTTGAAAGGCACTGGGCGTGACAACAGTAACCGGCGCAGCAGGTGCCCCGTGCCGTGGAAAAAACCATGATAAATAGTATATAAAATATCTATTTAAAGCAGCTAAGCTACTTTGGAGTATCTAAAAAAAAAAAAATAACAGGCACCTAACTGGTGGCGTTGCGTCACTACTATAGATTAAATATATGCTATTGTAGTAAGCAGAGCTCACTACATAAAATTGAGGACCAAGAGAATATATATAAACCACGTTTTAACTTAAAAGACTTTAAAGCTGTAATTTATAATAAACACACAATAACAATTATATATATATATATAATTATAACTTTTACTGACACACTATGTCTATGATCTGGCATAAGTAACTGCCTAATTGTGGTTAATTAAAAACAGTTTATATAGTAATATATAAATTAGTGAATGACGTTTAACTTAGAGAACTAGGAAGGCCTAATAATATTATCGTGGATGCGCGTGAAAAAGAGGTTAAGTCAACATTTTGTGCAAAATGAGTTATATGCACCGACAAATTCACAAAAAAAACTATCATTTGTGTTTTATAGTTTAAGTCTAAGTGTAATATTCAATGAATAATAAAGAAGTGTTTGATGAGATGTCACTATTTTTCTGATCTTAGTGTATTTTGTTAAAATGATAATTTAAAAGTTGATTAACTTCATATTTTTAACACACTTTTATTCAGAAACAGATTAATATTTGTTTTTAGAAAAATAGAGCATATATATTAATTAGTTTATTTTATACATGTATATATGTACAACAACTTTGGAAAATAACAGCAAAAAAGTCTCCGTACATTTATTGATGTGTATGAATAACAGATAAAAATAGTACCGGAATAGGGAAAACCCGTATGGACTGAGAGTTCTACATATCAACGAGCATGTTATTATTGTTTTTGTAGCCATTAAGAACGATAGACATACGCTTAGTCCGTTTTATTCAATTCATATACATTGAACAATGGAGATACCAATTGCTATTCGTAAATTAGTAGTTAAACTAAGAGAAGATGGTAATTCTCTCAGAAATATTGCACAAACAATAAATAAATCGCACTCGACTGTACAATATATTATAAACCGATACAACGAAACTGATTCTTTTGAAGATCGAAAACGTACTGGTCGTCCCCAAAAATTGAAATCACACCAAAAGAGGGCCATTCTAAGGACAATTGTGACGGAACCAAAAACCAGTGCACCTAAACTGGCTGGTATGATTGATACTGACTATAATGTGAAAGTTGTTGCCTCAGACCATTCGTAATGTTATTAGAAACGCAGGATATAAAGGTTGTGTAGCTAGGAAAAAACCCTTTATCAGTCAAATAAATAAAAGGAAACGTTTAGATTTTGCGAAGGCACACATTCATAAGGGAAATGATTTTTGGAAATCTGTATTATTTAGTGACGAAAGCAAGTTTAATATTTTTGGTTCAGATGGGCGAGTTATGGTGTGGAGAAAACCTAATAAGCAGATGGATTGCAAAAATTTGTGCCCAACGGTAAAGCATGGGGGCGGTAATTGTA